TTTTCTCATCTTTATTGTTTTCCTTTGCCTAGCTATGGAATAACTTACCTATTCACTTGAGTGTTGTGAACCCTAGCTTGAAATATATGATAGATTGTATTAATTGAATGCTTTGTGTGTGGCGTTTGTGTTGAATGCAAAGTTTGAGGTATTTTCATGATGTTTGGGTTGTGTTCTTCATTTCTCATTACTATGCCAATTTGACATAGGTAGAGGGAATTCCCTTTTTTTTGTTAGAAGGCTTTGATAGGCCAGATTCCTTGGCCAATCGAGCCACCTACCTAGGGCGAATACGGGCAAACCTCAATCTTCGATTTATCACTTTAACTTGGGTGTTATTTTGCCGTCCGGATTATGTCCGAGGGATTGGTTCTTTCAACCCTTAGTTGATCGGTCAAGAGAGCTGAGACTCCTAGCTTATTGTTGCAATCCTTAGGCGAAAGGTTAAGAGAGCTAGACTTCCTAGTTTATTGTAGCAATCCTTAATCCATTGATTGAGAGAGCTAGGGTTCCTAACTTAGTTGTTTTTCTTAACCGATTGATTAAGAGAGTGAGGTTTCTTTCACTTGTCGCGCCCTGTTAACGGTGTGTTAACACACCTTCACACATTTGCATTCGATTAGGTCAATCTTGATATGTAGCTAGGGGGAGCAATACCCGGGTGAATTCTTCTCTCATTGGGACAATCTCGATTTACTTTACTTGTTTGTTTTATTTTGTAGTTTTCTTAGTTCTTAAACCCAAAAGCGTTCGCTAGATAACAAACTAAGCGATTGAAGTAGGGGTACATGGACCGACCCGGGTTTGACAATTAAAACATACTTGCTCTATGCTGCACCTAGGGCTGTCATTTCGGTTGCCGGTTAGCGGCTAACCGGCCGGTCTAACCGTTAACCTCCGGTTAGCGGCTAACCGGAAACCGAAAAATAGAGGACGCGGTCGGTTGGCGGAATGGATCAGTGGGCGAGCGGTTAGCCGATAAACCGAAGCCGGTTAACCGGCTAACCGACGGTAACCGACCGAGATGAAACGACGTCGTTTTTGCCTACCCTTAATCACACCCATTCACCCCAAACCCTAGCTGCCGCCTCCATTTTTGCAAGTGCCGAGCTCGCCGCCGCCTTAATTCTCCAAAACCCCAAAGAACTTCTCTCGCCGCCTCACCTCGAGCCCCCAACTGCCGAGCTCCCGCCGCCTCGCCTCGAGCCCCCGCCGCGCCTCGAGCTCCTGACTGCCGAGCTCCCGCCTCCTCGCCTCGAACCACCGCCGCGCCTCGCCGCCCGTCACCCGCCTTGCCGCCTCGCCCGTCACCCGCCTCGTCGCTTTATTTCAGTACCTGAGAGAGCCAGTGAAGGGAGAAAGAGGAGTGGAAGAAATCGATTTATGGAAAAGGAAAGAAGAAAGAGATGGGAAGAAAGAAAGAGATGAAAAGGAAAGAAAGAAGAAGGAAGAGCAGAGACAAGATTGATGGAAAAGGAAAGAATGGAAAGGAAAGAAGAAGAGATGGAAAGAAAGAAAGAGAGAGAGACGGAAAGGGGTCTTCATTCATTTCCTTTATTTTAATTTTTTTTCCCCAAAACCAAGCCCATTCCTGCCGGCTAACCGACCTTATAACCGAAACCGATCGGTCGGTTTGCCGGTTAACCACTTCTTCCTCACGGTCGGTGGTCGGTAGTCATTGAGGTGGCTTGGTTTAACCGATAACCGAGAATTCGGTTTTCGGTTAAACCGAAACCGACCGGTTGACACCCCTAGCTGCACCCGGCTAGAGTATATGCTTGGGCTCTAGTCAGGATATAAATCGCGGTGCATCCGTGGTGAGTCAGGAAGGTAACTTGGAAGAGTGATGATTCGAAGATGAGGAAGAAGGAGAATGCTTCTTAATATGGAGAAATAGAAGAATGAACATTGCCTTTGGGTCACATACTCAATGGTGCTTGCTAAATTCCATAGTAAAATTTTTGTGAGTTAAAAACCCCAATGGATCCAAGTATGAAACTTATGATTAATACTGGTCAACCAGCTTTATAACTGGAGTATTTCATGTTAATTGGGTGCTTGATGTATACAATGGTGGAATAGGTGTCGCCAAGCGTAATTAAGCAAAGCTAAGAGTTCAATATAAGAAAGAGAAATTAACATCATCTACAAACTCAATGTTCTCTGTCAATTGATGGCAATGAGGTGAGAGAGGCGGATACCTCAACTCCATACATGTCCGCACATCGAGAGTGGGTTAGGCCAGGGTATGTTGGCTCATTCTCACATGTACATTGAAGAAAATAAACTAAATTTTTAAATTTGATTCACTATATCATTTATTACACTGCCTAACCATCGTTCGGAAGGGTATCACCTAACATATAGTAGCGTGAGACAGAGTATGAGTCCTTTCGTCCCACTATATTATTGACTCGTTCTATTTAATTTTTTTTATCATTAGCTCACTCGTATCACCGAGGAAAGAAAACATATCAAAGTCAATACACCGTACTAAACTAGGACGTAAAATCAAACCTACCAAACTGGGGAACAAGGAAAGAGCCTTTTTCGCAACCAAATGAGCAACCCTATTTCTAACTCGACCAATAAAGCAAACATTAAAACTTTTTAAATACTCTCTAAGGGCAGCTATGTCTGCTAAAATGGCACCTCCACGAACGTCCAATACAACACCATGGTGAACCTTATCAAAGACGGCCTTCACATCACCAGCAAACACCACCTGGCGCATGCCGTGAAGCACACACCAACGAATTGTATCTCTTGACGTGAGCAACTCGACCAAGAAAGGATCCACAATCCTATCAAACAATCGACCTTCCACTACGAAGAGTGTCCGCTGTGAATCCTGCATAACCCATCCCCCAGCCCCATGAGACCCAGGCCGAACCGCCCCATCAACAAACAATCACACATGATTTAGGGACACCGAAGCTAGCTCCACCAAACCCTCCGATGGATCCTCACAAGCCGTTCCACGCATCTCCGCCCGACCCTGCACTTGTGGCTGCCACTCCCCCACCTGCAAAGAAAACTACATACCCAACGTATCAAAAGAGAACTCCGACTCAAGATTTTTTTGTCTTTATTCTATTATGAATTTCCTTAAATCGTATTTTCACCAAAGAAATATTGAGATAAGTGCAAGGCTTCATATTTCAACGAATTGGACTCAGTTGCTCATTTTATTACCTCTACATTTTATTAAAAAAAATATTCTTTATCATAAAAATAAATATTCGTAATTTATTTTCTTCCATTTGCACGTGAAAATAGGGCGACCTACTCTGCCCATATCTGCTCAATGTGGGACGTGTATGTACACTGAGTAGTGAGTACCCACCAATGTTGTGGAACCAGTATAAGATTAGTCGGTTGGACTAGGTCTGACAAAAAACGGCCATGAAAACAATCTCCAACAAATCATTTTGATGTTAGCCGATCAAAATTGGTAAAAATTGGAAAAATCGATGATCGAACCACTTTCTTATTTTCGGTTCGGTGACAAAATATTGTTGTTTTGGAATTGGAATGAAATTACCAAATGAGATGATGATCAAGTTTTAATGGGTTTTGGTAATTCATTCATTAATTTTTGAAATTCTCGATGGAGCCCTAGCCCCTATGCAGTGGCGGACCCAGAATTGTTAGAGAGGTGTGTCGCAGATAAAATAAGATACTAATTAAATAAAATTAAGTAGAAATTACCAGAAATTAATTCATAAAGTTCACAATGTCATTACAACGAACCACAACGACTTTTCATATTCTGAAATGTCTGTAAAGTACATTCATCGCTTATGTTGCGAAGCAAATCCTTTTTGATATACACAACTAAACAATCATTCATAAATTGGTCACTTAAACCGATTTCGAAATTCATTCTTTATTATCTTCATAGTTGAAAATGCTCTTTCGCAGTTTACAATTGAGTAAAGTCAACACCAACTTCAAGAGCAAGTAAACTAAAGGATAAAAGAAAAGGGGATGTGGCAGAGGGTCTTAGTAATTAGAAACTAAAAAGGGGTAAAGGTGAGTTTTTATTTCATTTTTTATTTTCAATAAACGAAGGGTCAAGGGGTGGAAATGGCGAGTTTCAAAGGATAGAGTTATGTTTATTTTTTTCATTATTGGATTGTTGTGTGGGTTACTTTAAAACAATCATACTTATTTGATTTTACTTATTCTTGTTTATTATTAATTAAGATAAATAACACTTTCCCCCCGATAATTAGTGGTTTCCATTAAAGCTAACTCGATGCAAACAACATGAGTCGAAAAAATACAAGACAGCAGGCTGTCAAAAGCAAACTCCCACAGAGTAACAGAAAGCAAAAAAACTATCTACTGGGGGAAATGATTCTATATAACTCTGGCACTTTCTGAATCATAGACTGAAACTCAATATTACCACTGGTAAACAAGCAAATTTTCTCCCTCGTAAGAGAAGCCAGCAGCTCAGGTTGTCTTGGAGTTGCTCCAAAAACCCTGTTGCAACGTTCACGCCAGATGGAAGCCATAGTCCAGCACCAAATGGAACACTCAAGTAAACTTTTGTTGTCATTTTTGATCGCTTTGTGCGACATCAGCAGCATCATATCATCCCACGTAGCAGGCAGGCGAATAGTAGTTCGGAGAAGAGAAGAAAGGAAGGTCAAGGTGAATGGACACACACAGAACAAGTGTTCCCTTGACTCACTGGATGAAGTACAAAGAATACAACTATCATCCATAGTAACACCCCACGCTTTGAGCTTGTCCCTCGTGGGAATACGATTAATGATAATGAGCCACGCCAAGATTCTGCATCTGGGGAGAGTGAACTTGCCCCATACAATCTTCCACCAGGTTACACAAGGTTGTCTGATTCGTAAAGTATTCCAAACTGTTGACACAGAAAAACGAATCATCTTGTTCCCAAGCCAAGTAACATCACCATCACTATCCATTCCCATTCTGAATTGCAACCAAGGCCTAACTTTGAGGACTTGTTTCCAGGTCCAGGATCTTGCAGCAGTTCGTTTCACTTCCCAAACAGAAGATCCTCTCAATCGATATCTAGATACCCAGGCAACCCAGAAACTGCCCCCCTGAATAAGAAGAAGCCAGACAAGCCTAGCAATGCAGGCTACATTCCATGAGGTTAAGTCTTTCAGGCCTAATCCCCCCTCCATCTTTGGCAAAGCTATGTGTTCCCAAGCAACTTTAGCCCTCCCTGACTTGTCACCATGCCAAAGAAAATCAGAACAAGCTTTCTGGATATCTTTAATGACCTTCTTACTAATAACAAAAATCGCCATCCAGTAATGAATCAAAGAGTATAGAACTGATTCAATGAGCTGAAGTCTACCCCCATAAGATAATGTATTAGCCCTCCAACTACGAATCCTCCTAGTTAGTTTATCCACGAGCATCGCACATTCATGGCTAGAGAGTTTACCTGAAGTCAGAGGGAGACCCAAATAACGAACTGGGAGATGCCCTTCTCTGAATCCAGATGCTTGCAAAGCAATGGACTTATACTAGTGAGCTTGACCACCAAAAACACGTCGCATTTATCAGGGTTACATTATAGCCCCGAGAGTTGATAAAATTTGTCTAACACCAATCGAACTCCAGATAAGGCCCTTGTCGAACCTTCAGTGAAAACTAATAGGTCGTCGGCAAAGCAGAGATGGGTAAGATCAACTCTTTTGCATTGAGGATGAAAAGGAATCATCTTGGAGACTGCAACTCGATTCAAAAGACCCGTAAGTGGTTCCATAGCAATGGTGAACAGGTAGGGGGAGAGAGGATCCCCCTGCCTAACCCCTTTTGCATATTGATAGAACCCAAAGAGACTGCCATGTATCGAGACACTAAAGAATGCTGAGTTCAAACAGACCAGAATCCAATCAATAAAAATCTGTGGGAATCCCATTTGAATCATAACGCAAGTAAGATATCCCCAGTGAACAGAGTCAAAGGCTTTCTTAAGGTCTATCTTAACTGCACATCTGGAAGAAAGTTGCATTCTATGGTAGTTTTGAACAACTTCTTGGGCCATTAGAATGTTTTCCAGAATACTTCGTCCATGAATGAATGCTGACTGATTTCTACTAATTACTGATGGGAGGACAGTTCTGATCCTATTAGCCAAAAGCTTAGCAACAATTTTGTATAAAATGTTGATACAGGCAATAGGTCTAAAGGAACCCATGTTATCTGCATTAGGAGTCTTTGGTACTAAGGTAAGAGAGGTTGAGTTCATACCTCTTGGAAGAATTTTGTGCTGCAAAAAATGCTGGACCCCTTCAATGACATCAGTGCTTACAATTCCCCAGTTCCTTTGAAAAAAACCTGCTGTCCATCCATCTGGCCCAGGGGCCTTTGAACCATCCATAGCAAAAAGAGCATCTTTGATTTCCTGAGCAGTAACTGGAATACATAGAGAGTCTTGTTGTTCCCGATTTAAGGTAGCGTGTAAGCATTCACGATGATCTCCGAATCCACACTAACTGCACTATTAACCACTCCAAACAATCCCTTATAGTATGAGACTGCTTCATCAGCAATGTCTTGTGTATCAGTAAGCTCCCTACCATCATTTGCCATGATCTTCCTTACCTTTTTGCAAGCTGCACGAATGATAGCAGACTAATGGAAGAAACCTGAGTTCTGATCCCCCAAAGTGAGCCACCTTATTCTGGATTTTTGTCTATAAAAAGTCTCTTCTTGTTTAACCAGTTCAGCATAGACTTTGATAGACTTATTCATTTCTGAAAATAGAGATGGAGCTGGATTGGTTAAAGCTTGAAGCTGTAAAGATCTACCCTCTTCTCTTTTGTGCTTAACCCTCTCTAAGATATCTGAGAAGGCATTTTTATTGAGTTTGTGTACTTCAGCCTTAAGCAAGTACATCTTCTGTTTCACAACAAAGAAACCCCTCCTAGAAACTTGCTGAGTCCATATGTTTTGAAGGATGTCACAATACGAGGGATGATGTTCCCATAAATCAAAATATCTGAATGGATTGGGGAACTTCCTCACAGGAACTCTTGGTATAATCAACATTCCACAGTAATCAGAAAAATCAGGAGCAAGGAATTTAGCAACACATTCAGGGAAAATGTCAAACCACTCTACATTCACAAGTATTCTTTCTAGTTTTTTAGCGATGGGATTGGCTTGCTGCTGATTAGCCCAGGTAAATACAGGACCAGTAGCTGTGTGATCGACAACCTCCATCTTATTAACCCATACACGAAACTCAGACATGCTACTATTAATTGATACCTCGTTTGAAGATTCAGAGGGAGCCAATATGGCGTTGAAGTCCCCACAGATGAGCCAGGGGGCCCCTTGAATCTTCCATTTTTCCTTGTACGTCAAGAGTCTCTCATTTTCATCATTGGAACCATAAACTGCTGTGAAAAAGAACTTCTCACCCTGCCTTGTGGAGACTGCATCGTGAATAAAATGAGTCTCTTCTGCTAACATACTCAATGTAATATCATCTGTCCAACCAATCCAAATTATCCCTAACGGATGCTTAGAGTAGTTATCAGCAAATTGAAAATCAGGGAACTTCCGTCTGATGTCAATCACCTTCTTAGGATCCTTAACTCTGGTTTCTAACAAAACTAATAATGAAATTTGACGGGTACTTACATATCGAAGCATATCATTATGCTTCGTGGGGCTATTGAAGCCCCTTGTATTCCAGGCGAGGATTGTCATTTACGCAGAGTAGCCACCTTGGTGGCTTCCCCCTTTTCCTTAAGCCCTCCCTCCCTGTCTTCTTTAGTGGAGGCGCCTGTAAACAAATATCCCTCGATCCACAGAGGACATCAAAAGCATTGGAATGTAATATGGGAATCGAACTCTTTTTGGATGATTTGGATTTCACACCATTGATGACCTTATTAAACTCTTCCTGCGACGGTAGTGCACTTGGTGTAACAGGTGCTGGAGAGACAGGCATCTCCTGGCTAGCAACAGGCGCTGGTGTTATCTCCTGACTCTCAACAATGGCTTTGCCCTTCAGTGTAGCTTGGAGAACTTGAGTTGCCTCAGATATCAGGCTCGTGGAAACAATTGCAGGCTCAATAGGAACAATCAGCGGGGTCTTCTTCCTCCAGACCTTCGTAGTATTAACTCCAGACGGAGGGAGTGAGCAATCATGCCCAAAGACCCCACAATGAACACAACACTTCGGTAAACCACAGTACTCCATATTGATAAACATTTCCTTCATATCGTCCGGAGTAATGCTAATCCTGTCAATCCGTGCTTTCTTTGCCTGAATCTCAACACAAATTCGCACAGTACCAAATTTCTCCCTACGAGCTGTGGAATGATCCATACATAACGGCCTACCTAGAGAACTGGCAATCCTCCCCAATCCTTTTCTAGAAGCGAGCTTAGTTGAAAGGCTCGAGAGCTTTACCCAAGTTGGAATAGCCGAGTTGTCGATCTTCATCGCCTGAATTCCAGGTTCCCAACGCGTGAGACAAATAATCTTGTCCTTGTAGTGCCACGGACCCCCCTCAAAAACCCAGCGACAAACCGATTCTGACGGAAACTGAAATAGGACAAGACGGTCCTCTAACAAGGAGACTCTTACCTCGCCTTCTTTGCCCCATATCCAATTTGCCCAGAACCTCAAAGTCGAAACGGATGGAGGTTTGGCCAAAAACTGACCTACAAGACTATGCTCTCATCGTTTTTGCACTTCCTCAATGACTGATTTAGGGATACGAAGGGATCCATTGATGAATTCGTGCTCAAAAAGCACTTCCTCCGCAACGTGAAACAGAGATGCCCAGGACCTGCCGCCGCCAACGGCGCCCGGCGAGGCCCCATCAGCGACGACAGTCATCGCAAGGGGAGAAGAAGAATTCAGAGCAAAGAGAGAAGAGAGAGAGCTTTTTGTAATTCACAATTCAAGTCCGATAAATAACTTTAGAACAAGAAAATCATTCTCGTATAATAAAGGTGTGTCGCTCACAATTATTTGAGGTGTGTCGGAAGTCTTGAATTAAAATTTTTTGTACCAAAAGTATATAGGTCCTTCACAAAACTTCCGGGTGAGGGTGTGTCATAGGTTCGCCCCTGCCCCTGTGTAGCTTCGCAAACTCAAATTACTTGTTTGATCGGCTCAACAATTTAAATCGGTTTGACAATCTTGGTTAGTCACCCGGACACCCCTTTTGACATCACTAACCAGTCAACTACTCTTATCTCCCTTTCGGATCTCCTCCGACCGTCATTTGTTGCCGTCGCGGAATCGTAAAGAGTAACGCCAGAGACTATATCTCAATTCTCAACCGACGCTAATTATTATACTTCTCTTCCCCGTCGATGGCTTGACGATTCCCGTCGCGGCATAGGGCTTCGTAGGGCTTTTTCCCACCGGCGGAGCAGTTTCTCGCCTCTCTTGGTACAATAGCAACCCTAGAAGCAAGATATCAGGTTATTACCATTATGTATGCTATGCTCCTTATTTGATTGTTAATCGATCTTAGCCTTGTTTGAATTGAACCTGCGCTGTGCTTGAGTCAGGCTTCTTTCGATTGTTCCTTTTTCTACTGTTCCTTGTTAGATTTGGAGCTGCGTTGGAATTGTTAATTGTCTCAGGGAAAAAGAGAGCTAGTTGATCGAATCAACGTTGAATATCTTCCATTCTATTTCGCTCTTCAGATTCGCTTGTGGTTCGGAATCCGTTTCACTTTGTCATTCTGGTTAAAATTGCACGCAATGATATCAGTGGACAAGCATTTTCCCTCCATTCTGAATGCTTCACTGGTTCGGCAGAAATCTGGCTAATGATCATAGGTTTTAATGTGTTCAGGTCTTCTTCCGACCAAGTATCTAGTTGGGAGAGTGAGATTGCTTATAATGGATAGAGAACTAGAGAAACAGAATGAAGAAGAGGGTGATTTTGTACAATCCCCCACTAATTCACAGTCAGCTGATGAGAACTATGAGGAAATTGATGATGCTGAGGGAACCTTCCCACCATCACAGATTGATGAACAGGATGATGAGGAATCTGAATTTCCGATGGAAAGCACAACCCAGTTTGATTCGAGTGATGGCGAGAAGATCGAGGAAGGTGAAAATCTTGTGAAGGAAGCGACTGAACCTCAAACAGACGAAGAAGCTGAAGTTGTTGTGGAAGCATCGAGTAAAGTAGTAGGTTCTTCCAGAAGGACTTCTAAGTCGTTGCGGGCTAAACGTAACGTTGTGAAGAAATCTCCTGCTGGCAACTCATTTAAGAGCAGTCCAGTAGGCACTGCTGAAATTACCACGGGACCGACCACGGAGCTCAATTCAGGTGCTGATCAGATGATTGATGAAGGTGAGAACGTTGTTGCTGGAGTAAATAATAAATTTCAAACAAATGCGGAGAAGAACGAGGAAACTGAGGATCTTGTGGATTCATCAGATAAAGCAGAGACCCCCAAAAGG